ATAAATTTAAAATCGACCACTTGTACCAACTCTTTATCTAACTTGTATCAACTTACTAAAATTGTTACAAGTACTTGCCTTTCATCAAATATCCTGCAAAAATATAGGCAGGTAGAAATGGATTCAAAAACAAGTAATAACGCAAGGACCATGGAACATTCCCTAAATATAAATACTTTAGGTCATTTATACTTTGGGAACATCTTTTTCTCTGTCCCTCCTATTCTCCACACCTAATTTACACCTATTTCAATTCATTTAACAGCGAAAGTGCAAAAGTATAACAATGTATGAACAAAGATCGAGTTCAAGGCAGCAAACTCTCTTCAACAACGTCCGGTAGTGAAGGTGAAGAACCACCACTAATTTTGCTGGGCACAGGTGTATTTCTTCGAGACTGGCGCTTGGTAGGTACAAGCACGCTCTCCTGCTCAAACTTTTCAGGACTTATGTCATCCTCATCATCCTCTTCATTCTTGAAAACTGGATGGATATAAGCGTTATGGAGATAGCCTTTCAGATTGAGGTTTGGTTCTCTTGCACGCTCTAAAGTATCTTTCATCATTGCTTCCTGAAATCCATAAGGATTACGTATAAGGGTCAAAAGTTTCGTACTGACAGATATATGTCAGCATCAAGAGAAACAGCACTAAGTTCAAACAAGGTGGAAGATGCCTTCATCTTTTCCATTAAGATAGATGCAAGAGCACAAAAGCTAGTAATTTGATCACGTATGGAAATGATAAAGAAAATGTTCACCGCAGTTACCTGTAAAGGGTATCTGATGAAAGCGGGTTCATAACGACCTTTGCAGAATTTATGGAAATAGATGGTCAATATTGGAAGTGCAATAAGGAATGGTGTTGTGTTAGCAGCCCCCTTTGTACTCATTAACCCCATTAGAATTAACTGCGAGAAGACCATGGCAGATATTATACGTCCATGTACATCTGGCCAAAATGCTGCAGCACTTTCATATTCTTGGTTGTACACATTTATGATCTGCGCGATTGCACAAATTCTTCGTTAAAAGAACTAAAAGATGTAATCGGCTGTGTATCTATGTGAGATAA